GCGCGCGTTCGTCTCATCCTCCCCACCCACCCTCGCTCGCACGTTCTCCGGTCGCACGTACATCTCCGTCGACGTCCCATCGCTCGCGACCGTCTCCACGCGGTACCTCTGGCGACTCGGCGCGTATTCCCTGACCACCCCTCGCGCGCCGTTGAGCTCGGGCCTGGACGTGAGTCCCTCGATCGTCACCGACGTGTTCGGAGAGATGTACTCCATCGCCCGCGACGCGCGCGCGACGCGGACTGCCGACGCGGACTGCCGACGCGGACGACCGCGACGACATCTGTCGACGCATCCCTCGACGCCGCGCGCGCGTGTCGCTCATCCACGGTCAGCGCGCGCGCGCACGCGAGCGATGTCGAGCGCGATCGCCCCGCACGCCCTGGGGGTCCTGGGCGCGGTGCCGTTCGTCGCGCTCACGCCGGACGTCTCTCGACGCCTCCCGGGCCTGCGCGCGGTGTTCGAGCCGAAGACGGTGGCGCGCGCGCAGATCGCGTACGGGGCGAGCGTCCTGAGCTTTCTCGGTGGCATACACTGGGGCTACGCGATGAATTGTCAGCGAGCGTCGATGACGCCCGCGCAGATGGCGACGCGGTACGCGTGGGGGGTCGCGCCGAGTCTGTTGGCGTGGCAAGCGATGGCGGTGACGCCGACGAGCGAAGTCGCCGCGTGCGGGACCCTGATCGGAGGACTCGCCATGGCTGCCGGCGTGGACACGCTGTACGCCATCGGCGGTGGATACCCGAAGTGGATGATGCCCACGCGATACGCGCTCACGGCGACGGCGTGCGCGAGTCTCGTCGCGACGGCGTTTCGAGGCGTCAACGACGACGGCAACGACGGATCCGAGGCGTGAGCGCGATCAACACACAAAATTAGTTAGCTCTTATAATAGCACCGCGCGCGCGATACGAACCTTCTACTCCACGATGACCGTGATTTGCTTGGCAAACTTTTTCCCAAACGACCGGTGCTTGGCGTCCGCGAATTGCAGCGTGAGCGTGTGCTCGCCCGGGGTCAGGTTCACCACCCCCTCCTTCTGCGCCTTCCCAAAGTGTAAATGGGTCTCATCGAACGGAATCTCCGCTCCCTTCTCCACGAACGTCGGTCCATCGATGATGAGGTGGTGGTGTCCCGTGCCCTCCTGTAACCCGTTCGCCGCCGGGGCGAGCTCGTAGCCCTTCACCCCCATCTTCACGTCGAACTGTCGTCCCACCGTCGCCTTATCCCTCGGTTCGATGAAGTACACCCCGTTCTTCCCATCCTTGGCCATCGCCGCGTCGTCGGTCGTCATCGAACACGTCAGCGCGATGAGAGCACCGAGGACACGTCGACGTCCATCGACGATGTCACCTCGCGCGCTCGCGTCGTCTCTCTTCTCGATCGTCCGTCGCGCGGCGCTCGCACGGACGCTCGAGGGCGCGTTCGTGTTGCGCCCGCGCGTGAAGTGGGCGCGGCACGGAGGGACGAGGGAAAGAGGGGCGAGCATGTGCTCGAGGAGCCTCGCACTGCGGCGGCTCGAGCGAACGCGCGCGCGGTTGAAGAGCAAACATCAAATCAAATCAAACATCGCTGGATGAGCGACCGCCTACGCACTCTTTCTCGCCGTGACGACGAACATTGGGTCGGTTCGCCCGGGGTTCGGGGAGATGTCCTCGCCCTGAGGAGGCTCAAAGCCGCCGGCGAAGTGGTAGTACGCGCCGACAATCCAGACGTGGTCGAGATCGCCCGTGGCGGTCCAGATCGCCACAGCCTTGGTCGGGAAGCATCTGTTACTAAAACTCATGATGGCGAGTCCACCCGGTTTCAAAACTCGTCTCACCTCTTTCATGACGTCGAGTGGTCTGGTGAGATAGTCCACGCTCACCGTGTTGGTGACGACGTCAAAGGTGTTATCGGCGTACGGAAACGTCGGGTCCTCATTCAGGTCCCGAACCGCGTAGTCGGTGAGCACCGGGTTTCTCTTAAGCTCATCCTCGTTCATGCCCACCCCAGAGATTTTCCCAGCCTTGTACCCGTTCGGATAGTGCGAGATCCAGCTGCTGCACACATCCAAAATCGCCACGTCGTCGCTCGCCGGCGGAAACTCGCGTTCGTAATACTTGGTTAGGGCCCCGATCGCCTCGTCGTCGATGTGCGTCACGAATCTCGGTTGAGAATAAAAGATAAAATCAGAGCTCTCGTCGTATCGCGCCATCTCCTTCTCTCCGAACGGGTACTTGTCCGGAAACTGCGGGTCCTTTAAGACGTCGGCGTACGGGTCGCTCTTCGCCCGCGGCGCCCCGAACGCTCGCGCCTTCCCGACGTGCGTCGCCGCCCCGACGCCGATCGTACGTAATATCGCCGCCGATCCGCTCGCGACGAACGCGCTTCGTCTCGACGTCACGCTCGCCGCGTGTCGCTCGTCCTCTCGGTGATGTCCCGAAGACGTCGACGTCGAGCTCATCGCGGGCGCGCGTCGCCCGTGCGACGACCTCACGGCGAACAGCGCGCGCGCGGTGAGCGTGTGCACGCTCGCGGTGAACATGAGGACGCCCTCCGGGGTCGACGGCGCGTCGTACGACGCGGTGTGCGGCGACGGATGCACGATTTCAACGCACTCGACGTCTCCCTCGTCCACGTCACGACGAGCTCGAGTGAATCGACCGAGTCCGCACAGGGCGGGGCGCCTCGCGCGCGAGCGAGCGCGCGCGGTGCAGAGACGATCGGTGAACGCTCCGCGCGACGGGATCGATCGATCGGTCGACGAGCTCGGAGGAGGACGGGCGACGACGGACGACGCCGACTCGAGCGTGGTCACGGAGAGAAAGAATGCTCGGACTGGACTACTCGTCCTCGGACGACGACGAGGAGGTGAGAGAGAATGAAAGCGAGGGGGAAAACCGAAAGGGTAAGAGCACAGCGTCACCGGTGAAGATGGAGACGAAGAACGAGGCTCCAAAGGCGAAAATATCGTTACCGTCTGCGTCGGCGGCGTTCGCGGGCGGCGGCGGCGCGAACGAGTCGACGGGAATGAAGCGCCCAGCGCCTGCGCCGCTTATGAATCCGCGTCAAGGACAGCATAAGAATCCTAATTCGATCGGCAAGGTGAATACGCTCTTGCCTCCGCAACTGAGAGGTCGATCGAATGTGGTGACGCAGGACCTAGAGGCGCTCGGGTTTCGTAAGAAGACGCCGACAAAGAAGTGAGAGTAAGGTGCGGTTGGGATTATAGACTATGGTAGCATGTAGCGTGTAGAACAATCAAATGCGACTCAACACCGCTGAGTAGACATGAGACAACGCAGTAGCTCGTCGTGAGTCGCGCCGTTGCTAGCCAAAATCGGCCTGACAGTGAGGTCTGCGTGAAAAAATTTATTTATTTCTTCAGTCACTCGAATCGCGTGGACGTCGAATCATCGCGATCTGAACAGATTTACGTCGTCGCGCGAGGTATTCAAACGGACCATATTCCTCTCCGACGAGGTTTGTCATGCGACCGCCCGCTTCTCTAATCTGCGAGGGCGGAAATAAATGACTCGAGAAAATTAAATAAATAGATCCACTCACCAACAATGCTCCCGCGGCGGTGTCCCAGCTGTTTAGATCGGCCTCGAAATAGGCCGTGACTCTTCCACAAGCCACCCACGCGAGCATGATAGCCGCGCTTCCGAACATACGGATCGTCCGGACCGGTAAAGTGGCCAAAGCTGCGCGCGCAAATAATTAATTAATCAGTCTTTGCTTCTCAAAATTAATTTTCGCGCTTCACGACGAGATGAGCGCGAAATACCTGTCATCCCCTTGAGCATAACCTCAGTCGACGCGTCCGTGGGCGCGTATCCGGTCACGACGACTGCTTCCAAGGCGGTGGCCTCCTCGCCCACCTTTATGGGAGTGCCATTTAATTTCGCACCACCACCGAGGACAGCCGTGAAGCATTCGTCGCGAAACGGATCCATAATTACCGCCACTTGCAGTTCCCTGCAGAGCGAACGCATCGAAACGTGGTGGTCAGTTTTCACGCCTCTGGGTCGCGCGTACGCGCGTCAAGTCTTACAAAAGTGTCCATGAAGAATTATTTAATACTCACCCTTTGTAAGCCACTCCGATGGAGATCGCCGATAACGGCAAGCCGTGCACGAAATTTGTCGTGCCGTCGATAGGATCGACGACCCACAGCCACTCCGGTCCTGCGCGTCGATTTACAGTCAATCAGTGTCCCATGCGCGAATATCGAGGCGTATTTCCCTTGCGAATAATTAATTAAATTCCCGTCAACGCGTGCGAGACGACTCAACATACCCGTCTCCAACACCTCCCTGAGCGCATCCGCGCTCGCATCTTTACCGGCCGCGACGCTTTCTTCGCCCTACCGCGTTCGTTAGTGTCGTTCTGATGAAAACAGAGACCTTGCTGTCTTACCAGAAAACCGTGGTGTGGGAACTCCTCGGCTACCTTTGCCTCGATGATTCGTTGCACCTCCCCGTCCACCTCTGTGAGCAAGTCTCGAGCGTTGGCCTTGGTTTTTATGACTTCCGCGCCGACCTTGCGAGCCATGACGGTCCCACCCTCCTTCGCCGCTCGCACAGCCGCCTGAGCGCGAACGTCGGTCAGTTCACGGCGATACTCTTCTGCGCGAGCGACTCACCTCGAGGACGCGCTCCAAGGACGTCCCATCGGGCGATGCCTCGACCGAGACGGCGTTGCGGCGATGAACGAACGCGAAGCGTCGAGCGCGACGACGTCGACGATCGATCGATGCTCTCGTCGAGCGAGAGGACGCCGAGCGAGAGGGCGCGGAAGCGCACGTAGACGCCATTCTGTGAGGAGAGGTAGTTGGTTTGAACAGGACGACCGACAGCTCTCGGTCGCGTCACAGCGCGGTGCCGCGAACGTTGACGTCGAATCGTCGTCCGCTCGAGCGCACGCGTGAGATTGAAAGTCTTCGTCACGATGTCCAGACTCAAGCTCGTGGCGCTTCCCTTGGACGACGATGACAAGTCGACCGCGCACGCGTCCGGCCTGCGCGGTGAGTCCGTCTCGGACGAACGCGCCGGTGGATATAATATCAGGGACGGAGAGCTGTACGATCGCGGTGCTGGAGATCCCAACGATTCCACCTTGGTCGCCGTCGTGCAGCACTTCGGGATCCTTCGCACGATCAGGGTGACGCCGGGCGGGAGCAAGGTCAGAAGATTTCAATTTCAAACGTCCAAGGATGGCGTCTCGACGCCAACCGGAAGACCTTGGTGGGAGTTCGCGTTCATCCCAGGTCAGCCGGGGGCGATTTTAGTCGTTCAGGCAGAGTCACAAAATTTGCTGTTCACCTCCCTCCCAATGAACGAGTCCGAGCCGAGCTTGGTGTACCTCCTCGGCAAGCACAGCGCGCCGGTGACGAGTCTGACAGTGAGTTCAGATGGGAGCATCACAGCGACTGGAACCGATGATGGGAGTCTCGCGATTTGGGCGCTCAGCGATGGACACCGTGTTGCGAGTATGAAGGCTGCGCATGATGGGCTGGTGCGAGCCGTTGCGCTTTCGGGGAATGAAACGCTTGTATCCGCGGGCAGAGATGGTGTGGTCAGGATTTGGAAAATCTCAGTGGATGGATCTCGGCTCCGAATGCTTCACAGACTCGCATCTGAACAACTGAAATACGTCATTTCAATTGCAATTACGCAGAGGGCTCCTGAACTCACCGTTGCTGCCGGGTCTTCTGACGGGTGCTTGCACGTTTGGCGGGTCAACCTGGAGACTGAGAGCGCACGTTTAGACACGGTATTGGATCACAACAAAGGTTTGGCCGTGACATGTCTGTCGTTTCGAGCGGATGAAATCGTTCTTGCGTTAGGTACGCAAGAGATTGGTGAGACGATCGGGAAGGGAATGGTACAGCTCTTCGATACAAAAGACTGGACAACTGTGGCGTCACGTTCACTCGCCTCGCCGTGCTTGACATGCAACTATTTAGCTTCTGCAACAAATAGGCTGCTAGTATGCACGCCACAGCATCCCCCTCAAGTGTTTGAAGGTATGCTCATTGAGTCTGCTCTAAGGAGAGATGTCACCACGCCGTCTCCAATTAAACAGCCAATGACGGAGGTTGAAGTTGCCACAACGGCGCCGCAAGTTACGATTCATGAAGGACAAGAGGAAGAGTTCTGGGAACCACCTAAGATGGTTAATGATGATTTCGACGTCGAGAAAGAGTTGAAAGATTACATGGCTACGCTCGGTGTCACCGATCCAGATGAGATCAGACGTCTTACTGAGGCTCATATTCACGCAGCAGCGGCGACAAAAATGAGCCAGACGATTCCTAGCGAGGCTCGAATGTATCCAAGCATTTCAAAGAAGCCGGAAAAGGTTCCCGTTAAGAGGCAACGCGCACCGATGAAGCTAGATCCGAAATGGTTGGAGATCAAAGACCTTGGTCCTAAACTTGAAGACTTGTGGGAGTTCAGATATCGTGAGGAGCAAGTCGTAGACACGTTTGGCTTGCATTGTGGTACACTTCTCGTCCCGCAGGAGCGCGGAGTCGAGTTTTAGGTATTTGTAGTAGAAGATAGTCGATGTGAGTAATGTTACACATATTTTATCACGTTCATCAACGCGCGCGAGGATCAGACAGAGCGTTTGAGGTCGTTTTGAGCAGAGATGAGCGGGAGGCCTTCATCGCCTCCACAGCCAGTCTCGTCTCACGAATCGACCTCTCAATGGCCTCTTCCGACGTTTTCAGCGGACTGAGAGGCGGTTTCACGCTTCTTGCTGCCAATCTCTCGCGAATACTGCGCGATTTTTCCTCAAGAAATCTCTTGCGAGAGGTGACATCTGGTTCGGGCTCCTCTCGAGTCTTGACGGTGACGTCTTCATTGTCGTCGTCTACACGGCACAACTCGTCGTCGTCCAATCCGTTAAGACTCGCCCAAGATCCCAAGGACACCAAATTTGTGTTCGCGGTGTTCGCGCGAAGTTCAGTAAAGTCTGGCGAGCTGGAATGCTTCCGAGAAGTACTTCGAGGAAGGAGATTCAACCAGCTACCCTCACGCGAGAGCTCGTCTTGATCACTTGCTGAGCGAGACGACTTGAGCCTATTATTCATCAGCTTGACCTCATCCAACTCCGCCTGACACGCTTCCAGGTCTCTAGCGAGGCTGTTGCTTCTCGACGTCAAGGTTACGAGTTGCTCGCGGCTCTTCGTAGCTTCCAACTCAATCATCGCCAACTTCGCTGCCCAAGCCTCGTTGTTTCTGGTGATAGCCGCTTCGTACTCAAGTGTTGACACGCTCTCCTTCTCAGCCGTGAGCTTCGCTTGGACGAGTTTTCTATTCATCTCCCCAAGTTTTTCGACCTCGAGACGAGCAGCCTCGACGAGGGCATCGCGCAAAGCGAGCGGCATTCCGGTCGGGCTGAGCGGTTCGTTCGACTCGTCCAACTCTTCCTCATCATCGTCATCGTTGCGGAGACCGAGCGCATCGGCCCAGTCGTCTTTGCGCGACTTCTTTGTTTGTGCACGTTGATTTTGTGCGAGTTGCACTTTCAGCCGTTCGATCTCCTCCCTAAGCTCCGCGGTTGCCGATTTTTCCGACGCGAGTGCGGCGTTGTCCGATGGAAGACGCAAAGTGTCGGCTTGTATCGCGCCACTCAGTTGAAGCTCCACAGCCTTGCGAGCCGCCCGTTCTTGCTTGAGCTCGGCGGTCAATCGCGCGATATCTGCTTCCAAATATTCTCGGACGCGACGGAGCTCCTGATCGTAGTGACTAGTACCATCAGATTTGATGATCTCTTCCAGCTCGGTGACGCGCCCCTGAAGGAACTCGTTGTGCCGCATCGTCTCTACCAGTGATTCCTTCGCCTGTCGTGTCTCCTTTTCCGCCGTTTGATACCGGGCGATGGCATCATTGGTAAAGTCGTTCGCTTCCTTCAGTCTGTTTGCGGTCGCTTCCGCCTGCGTCGCTCGCTCTGTGAGTTCGGCAATTTCTCGCGCATCGCCGCGAATGCGCATTCGCGCTTGCGCCAACTCCATCGAGAGCGTGTCGTTTTCCTCGGAAGACGCCCCCGACAGCGCCGCAACGGTATCCTGCAATTTTTTGCAGTCAGCGCGCGCGATCTGAATCTTATGATCCGCCGCACAAGTCGCCTTGGCGGCGTAGGAGAGTTCAACCGTCGCTTCCCGGAGCAGTCGTCCTCGGACGTCGTCGAGTTTTACCTCGTCATCTCGACACTTGACCAAAGATCCGCTCCCCTCCAGCGCCCACACTCGCGCGCGCAACGTCGCAGATTCGGATTCCGCCGCTCGCTTCGCCCCCTCGGCGAGCTCTAATCGCCCTTTCGTTCTATCCAACATCCTTTCGGAAGTTTGCAGCGCGACGCGGAGTTCGCTCACGCGCTTTTGCAATCCATCCACGTCAACGCTCGGCGCCATCGGTCGGGTCAGGCGTCGCGCAATCGACGCCTCGCGATGTGCACTCTCGATATCGCTTGTTTTACCCCCCTCGAGCGTCTTCTTCGCCTCGATCTTCTCGCTCGAACCCGCCTCGTCGAGCTCGAGTTCGCTCGGCGAATCGCTCTCTGAGCTCGCGTTCGACCGCGCGTCCAGGACGTTCACCGGCGACGCCGCGCACTCGCTCTTTCGCCCCATCGCTCCCTCTCTCGCGTGTACCCTCGAGCGATTCGACGGATCGTCACCGAACCCACCGACGCGATCGTCGTCCCCCGTCGAGTTCCCGCCAATTCCTCCATCGCGGCCACCGTCGCGCGCGCTCGACGCCATCGCGCGCGTCGCTCCCGCCTCGCGCGCGTTCGCGTCCGCCCGCGCGCGACGTCCTCGACGACGACGACGCGGACCACCGCCGCGGTCGTCGTCGTCGTCCGCGAGTCCCGGTCGTCGTCGTCGTCCCGGTCGTCGTCGTCGTCCCGGTCGTCGTCGTCGCGACCGACCGACCGTGCTCGGACGTCGCGCGACGTCTCGATCGTTCGATCGATCGATCGATCGCGCGACGTCTCGATCGATCGATCGGTCGCGCGACGTCTCGATCGATCGATCGATCGCGCGACGTCTCGATCGATCGACGGACGTCTCGATCTCGATCGTGGCTGTCGGGTGTTTTTTGAAAAAGCCACGCACATCGAACGAACACCCGCGACAGCTCACCCGCGGGTGCGCGACGACGAACGATCGAGCGCCCTCGTGCGTTGGCGCGCGCGAGAGCGTGACCACGGACGATGGCGCGCGCGGTGTGCGGGCGATTTATGGGCGATCGAACGTATGACGCGCGCGTCGCCGTCGGTGGACGCGATCGGGGTGACGGACGACGACGGATGGGGGCGACGCGGAGGTGGGGGTGGGCGTCGAGGCGACCGACGAGGACGATCGCGTCGAGAGGGAGAGAGGGGAAGACGACGACGAAGACGGCGACGACGTCGGCGAGGGGGGGGGGGAAGAAGAGCGCGCGGGAGTTGAAACCGTCCGCGACGCGTGAGGTGACGCGGCGCGTGGGTGAGGTGACGGCGCGGATGCGGGAGGCGGCGGCGAACGCGCCGCGACCGGCGCTCTACGCGGGAGGCGCGCTCGTTCTCTTGGTTCTCGCGAAGGTTCTGTTCGGTCGAGGGAAGAAGGGATCGTTGGGCGATCTTGAGGAGCGAGGGATGCTCGATGAGAACAGAGACGTGGACGAGGATAAGTTTTATCAGGGGATGATGAAGGGCGTTCGAACGATGGAGATGCCAGAGCTCACGGAGGAGCAAATATTAGCAGCGCGAGAGCGACGCCGTCAGTCCGCCGCTGGGAACGATAACTTTGAGAAATCTCTCGCCGAAGTGGACATCCCGGCGAACCATCCGTGGGCGACGAAAGAAAACGTGAGCGCCGCCGAACAGCTCGCGGAGGAGCAGCGCGTACTTGAGATCAACCGACCGCGCAAGCGCAGAGGGGCGCCGCCGCCTCAGTGAGTTCTTCTCGACCGATTTTGAAGCTCAAGTATGTTATATGCGTTATACAAGTACACCGACTATCTACATTTATAGTTCCTCGCGCGCCGCGGGATCGACTCGGACGGCGTACGGATCGTCTTCGCCTTCGAACGCGATCTCCGGATTTGGAGACATTTTCTTCTCCGCTTCCAACGCCTCCAACGGGATTTCTTCGACAAGCTTTGAGTTAGAGTCAACGACGACCTCGGTGACTGATTCTAAGGCTTTTACCTTTGACCGATACAGCGGATGAAACCTCGCTATGAGTGGCGTCCGCTTCCAAAGAATGTGGATGACGACGAGCAAGAACATGGAGAATCCGAACCAGAGGATCACCTTGTCCATGATCGTCTGGCGCTCGATCGTGGTGATCAATCGACGTCCAGACTTCAACTTCGCGTGCTGATTCGAATACTCCACCCCCGTTCGTTCCATCGTCGCCGTCGACTCCTCCAACGCCGCGAGCGTCTTCTCACCCTTCTCCAGCTCCGTCGCCATCATCTGTCGCGCCCGTCTCAGCCCTTCCGTGGCCTCACTAGAGATTGCCATCGCTCCGCTCGCCTTGATCCGATCCATCTCGCTCGTTCCCGATCCAAGAAGTAAAGCATCTCTTTCCTCGTTTATTCGTTTCCTCTCCTGCGCCGCGCGCTCGAGCGCCGCGTGTCTCAGTATCCCTCGCGTGTTCTCCAGCGCCTCCGAGCGCTCGGTCACGGCGTGTGACATTTTCGATTTCCGCTCCCCGTCGTGCGCATCTCTCATAATCTCTCTCATCTCCTCCACGATCGCTCGAGCGTCTCTCAAACACGCCCGGGCGTCACCCATGCGCGCCTCATCCACCGTCGTCGTCGTCGACATCGCGTCGTTCGCGATCGTCATCGCCCGTCGTTCGAGTTCGCGACACCGCGCGCGGAGCGCCTCGAACGCCCGCTCGTCATCGTCCCACGCCTCACATCGCGCGTTCGCCATCCCCCCCCCCGATGTCGTCGCCCGTCGACGCCCCCCCGATGGCGTCGCCCGGTCGACGCCGCGTCGTTCTCGGTCGCCCGGTCGACGCCCCGTCGCGTCGACGCGAACGACGATCGACGTCGTCGTCCGCGCCGCTGGACCGGGGCGCGCGTGTGAACCCTAGGTTTAGACGTCCATCGACATCGTCCATCGTGCTGTCGATGTACGAGATGTCGACGCACGTGTGATGCCTCCGGTGCGCGTCGTCCCTCGGTAGTGCGCGACTCGCGTCGCCCATCGAAGTCACCCACGTGATCGACCGTCGCCTCGCGGGCGATCGTCGCGCGTGGGCGCGGTCGATCGAGCTTCGGTCGACGCGCGCACACGTTGACGCGCGCGGTGGTGCGCGGTCGATCGAGGTACTCGCACGCGGTCGAGATGTCGAGCGGATTTCGCGTCTTACACCTGGTGCGGCCGTTCATGAAGTTCCTTCCCGAGGTGAAGGCGGCCGATCGTAAGATTCCTTTTCGCGAGAAGACGCTCTACACCTGCGTCGCGCTGTTCGTCTTCTTGGTGTGCTCGCAGCTTCCGCTGTACGGGATCAATACCTCGAGTGGGGCGGATCCGTTCTACTGGGCGCGGGTGATCATGGCGAGTAACCGCGGGACGTGCATGGAGCTCGGGATCTCTCCAATCGTGACCTCTGGGTTGGTCATTCAGCTCTTGTCGGGGTCGAAGATCATAGAGGTGGACGAGAGCGTGAAGGAGGATAGGGCTTTGCTCAATGGGGCGCAAAAACTACTCGGGGTGTTGATCACCATCGGTGAAGCCGTGGCGTACGTCGTGAGCGGGATTTACGGCGACGTTCGAGACCTCGGCGTGGGCAACGCCTTGCTCATCATCATTCAGCTCTTCTTTGCGGGGATCATTGTGATTTGCCTGGATGAATTGCTGCAAAAGGGCTACGGTTTGGGATCTGGGATCTCTCTGTTTATCGCCACCAACCAGTGCGAGTCCATCATCTGGAAGGCGTTCTCTCCAACCACGGTGAACACTGGTAGAGGCACCGAGTTCGAGGGCGCCATCATTGCCCTCTTCCACCTCGTGCTCACGCGCACGGACAAGATTCGTGCGCTCAAGGAAGCGTTCTACCGCACCAACCTGCCGAATATCACCAACCTTCTGTCGACGATTCTCATCTTCCTCATCGTCATCTACTTCCAAGGTTTCCGCGTCGATTTACCGATCCAATCCAAGCAAAACCGCGGCTACACGGCGAACTACCCGATCAAACTCTTCTACACGTCGAACATGCCGATCATCTTGCAGTCTGCATTGGTGTCCAACCTTTATTTCATCTCGCAGCTCTTGTACAAGAAATACGGTGGAAACTTCTTTATCCAACTATTCGGTCGCTGGCAAGAGAGCGATAGGAGTGGACAGCTCATCCCGGTCGGCGGCTTGGTGTACTACATCTCACCACCGACGTCGCTAGCTGACGTCGCGGCGAACCCGCTGCACGCCATCTTCTACGTGACGTTCATGCTCTCCGCTTGTGCATTGTTCTCGAAGACTTGGATCGAAATCGCGGGTTCCTCCGCGAGAGACGTCGCGAAGCAACTCAAGCAGCAGCAAATGATCATCAGAGGTCACCGCGATATCAAGATTGAGAAGGAGCTCAACAGATACATCCCGATCGCCGCGGCTTTCGGTGGCATGTGCATCGGTGCGTTGACGATTGTGGCGGACTTCTTCGGTGCTATTGGCTCTGGTACTGGTATTTTGCTCGCGGTGACGATCATCTATCAATACTTTGAGACGTTTGAGAAGGAGCGCGCGTTCGAGATGGGCGCAAACGTCTTCGGGTAGACTCACTAGAAGTTGCCTTGTGAGAACGCGGCGGCGCGTCGCTCCGGGAGGACGATGCGTCGAACCTATAGATTAATATGCGGACTAAATGATCCCACATTAGAATGGTTTTGTAACCGGAATCTATCATCAGTGCATTCGTAATATGTGCCAGTACCTACATCCGTTTTCGTGTCTTCATTCGGGGGAATCGACGTATGTGAGACTTATCCGAACAGCTTTGGCTCGAAATTACAATCGCGTCGACCTAGAATCGTGCGCGAGCGATCGCTACCTCAAAGCTTTTCCTAGATGCACACAGCTGTGCCCAAACTAATACGACAGGCGCACCCGCCAGCCAAACATCACCAACCCTGAAAGAACTTGCACGCAAATCAACTTTACATGACCTTGTTCTTGGCACCACCACGGAGCTTCTTGACACGGTTCTTCTTCTCCTTGATGTTCTTGCGGGACTTTTGGACGGCGTCCTTCAAGCCAGCGCGGATGAGGCGGTGCTTCGGTTCAAACTTCTTGAACGCATCGATGTTGTCGTAGATCAAACCGAACCCAGTGGACTTACCGCCACCAAACGCCGTGCGGAACCCGAAGATGGACACGCACTTCTCGTCGGAGACGTTGTACATCTTAGCAATCTTCTCTTGAAGCTCAGCCTGTCGTCGTAAAACCACGTCGTCGTCAGTCACTGGTTCGTCTCTCAGTGTTCCTCAGCCATCCTTCTAGGGTCAAGAAACCCCAGCGCCGCGAATGTAACGTACCTTGGAGACATTCGCGCGACCCGGGTGGAGGACATCGCAGATCTGTGATTGATGAAAAACATTCGTCAGTCCTCATTCGCGCTCGTGAATCCTCGCGCGCGCCGATTGCGAGTCGCCAGTGCGTTGAGTTTCCTCCATCGCCTCGCCGCCCTCGATCGCGTCTCCCGTCGAATCTTCCCCTCGTCCGCGCGCGTCGTCGCGACTATCAAACGTACGAATTGACGGCGCTGCAACAGGCGGTTCGTCATGAACTTGCGCGTGCGGATGGTGCAGGACGTGTTCGTCATCTCGTCGAGTTACGAACGCGCCGTGGAAAGGCGGATCGAGGGAGGACGTCGCGGTGCTCCAGGTCGCATTCGTCTCATTCATGTGTGACGCGGACACTTTTGTGCGACGCGCGGTCGATCGCGCACCGACGAGACGACGTCGTCGCGAGCGCGCGCCGCACGGAGCGACGACGGCCTCTCACGATCGCACCGATGAGTAAGGCGGCGTTCACCGGTTTAAAAGCGGTCCAGGAGCTTCGCTTCCACCTGTGTCAAACGAGCAAGGGAAGCGAGGGGGTGAGGAATTTCTTAATGTCGAGCTACAAGACGCTCAAGGCGGCGTCGCCGTCGACCCCGGTGTTGATCCGAGAATCGAGCGGAGCGGAGGGGAAGCTGTACGCGCGATACGACATGGGCGTGGAGAAGTGCGTCAAGCTGGAGGGATTAGACGCGAAGGGGGTGGAGAAGTGCTTGCAAGACCTCGTGAGCTCGGTGCCAAAGTAGGACGACGACGCGAGCAATTTTAGCGAGAATGTAACTACTAGCGAAGAGGGAGACGGATGTAGACCTCGTCCAAGGACACGGATTCGCGTCGCATCGCTCGTCGCGAGCGCTAACGTCTAATCGTGCTACTACAACCTACTAGAAAGCGATCACTCGAAGAGCGTCGCCTCGGATGCCTTCTTGAACGCGGCGTTGATGATCTCCAGCTCCTCCCTCGCCTCCGCAGTGGCGATGTCCAACTCTTTGCTCACTTTTTCATGTTCGGCATGGAGGGCGGCGAGGCGCTTTCGGGACGCATTCTCGTCTGTGTCCATCTCAGGGAGCGCGCGCGCGATTTCCACGATTACCCGTCTCGCCTCCGCGATCGTCCCCGCCATCGCCTCTAACTCCGCCTTCGTGATCCCTCCCTCGGGTAACGCGTCATCGAGATCACCGTTCGCGCTCACGTTGGCCTAATCGTGCACAATCGCGACGTGTTCGGCGTCAGTCGTCGAGAAGGCGACGGGGGAGATTCGCACGTCGAGCTCGCGTTCGTTCGCTCACGCACAGGTCTCGCGTCGCGCTGGAGCGTTCCGGCGTAGTTGAACATGAGTTCACACAGAGTGTTTATCTGGCACTGAAGCTGGGACACCGCGTCGGCCATGGTGCGTCGTGGAGGCTAGTGAAGTACTGGAGTAACAAAGCTGTCTAGAAGGAAGAAATTTTATGTGTTTTTTGTGAGACACGTCCACAGACTGGGAGGCGGAAGATCGGCATCGGGAGAGATGATGCCTTTCTTTCGTATAGTTTTTAGCGCTTGCTTGTAGTAGTGGCTGAACCACATGCACTTGACCGTCCCCTTGAGCCCGGCGAGATGGACGACAAAGTCGCCGGGTTCGTAAAACGCTGGTTGCGAGTTGAATACGCACGCATTCACCACCTTGGTCCTCGCTCGAACGGTGTTTGCCTTGGGATAGATCGGTCCCTTCACGACCTTGCGCCAAATTTGTGACGCGTAGAGGTGATGAAACGCGCGCTGCTCGTACTTGAAGAGCATGTTCCACACGTTCTTCGGCGCTACGAGCTGTTCCTGTGCCCAGAGTTCGTCAACAAACCACAGCATCCACGGCGTGTTTCGCACCATCCACATCCCGCAGTTCACCCCGTTCTTATCCGCAGCGAGGACTTGATCGAAGTTAAAGTCTACGATGTCCTCCAACCGCTTCTCGGGGTTCATCACGATGGTATCGATGTCCATGTAGAACAAAAAATCATACTCCGGGAGATATTTGCGCATCGCCAAGAGCTTACTCCAGCTCGTCGGTCTGCTTCGATCGACGATGTCCTCGTCGACGATAAGATCGTAACCGTGTATATCCGCGTACGCCTGTTTATTAGCCGTCGACTGCGCGCAAATAGCCTCGACGCCGCTGTCGCACAGCGATATTATCCCGCCCTTGAGCTTTTTCGGCCGCAACCCAGGAAGATTCGTCATATCCGCCGGGGGCAACCCGCTCAGGGGCTCTCGATCGACTAACCCGCTCGGCACCGCGGCGTCCATCCCGCACGGTATCGGCCGCTCTATCGGATACATCCACCGTCGCACGTACACCTTTGTGAATCCGTCCACCACCTTTCGAGCGAACGGTCCGAGCGTCCACGCGAGCGCGACCAACGCGATCCATCGCGCGCGACTCCGTCCCCGCCTCCATCTCTCGCTCGTCCCTCTCATCGACCCATCCTTCCTCGATCGCGCCGCCGCCGCCTCGCGCGTCCCGCGTCGCCACCACCCCTCGCCGTCGTCCCGGCCGTCGCCCTCGGTCGCCCCATCGCCCGGCCGTCGTCTCCCCGCACTTCGCCGCCGTTCACCCGTCGACGCGCGCGCGAGCAGGGTCTCCGACGACGTCATCCATCGCGTCTCGCTCCGTCGCATCGTCGATCGCGTCGCCCCGCGCGCGCGCGTCCACCGCTCGCGCGTCGCCGGGGCCGTCGTCCGAGGGCCGGGCGCGCGTCCAACGGTCCGCGTGTGCATGTGTGAGACTTCGTGAGACTTCGCGTCCAACGGTCCGCGTGTGCATGTGTGAGACTTCGCGTCCAACGGTCCGCGTGTGAATGTGTGAGACTGCTCCGTGCGCGCGACCCCGCCGCGGGGCGAGGACGAGGGCGCGGCGCGACGCGCGAGGGCGCGGCGCGAGGGATCGATCGGAACGCGCGCGCGTCGTCGACGTTGACGCGATCGCACGCGTCGAGGACGCGGTCGGAGGCGTCGGGAGCGAGAGATCTGCGTCGATCGCGTAACCGACGAGACGAGGACGATGGGACCGGGAGACTCGGAGAGCGATCGAGAGGAGGAATTGGGTCGATCCGCGCTCGGGGTTCTCGGTGGACCGAGCTTGGACGACGCCCTGGGGGGGTTGGGATCGACGATGACGACGATGCGGAGAGACGCGCGAGGGCGAACGGGGGGCGACGAGAGCGAGAATCCATTCGAGACGGCGCCGAGCGAGTTGGAGAAGCGATCGCGCGAGCCGCTCGGGGTTGGCGTTGAATTAACGCGAGAAGAGATAAACGGTGCCGACGATGGGGCGATTGGGGTGGAGGAGGGGATGCAAAGGGTGAATCTGGGTGAAGAGGAGGCGGCCCGAACGCCGACGCGTGTTGAGCGCGGAACATCGCCTGAGACGCCCACGAGAGGGCGGGCGTTGGAAAACGGGAGCTATCACGCGAGCGAGGGGATGACATACGGCGATTTACTCGCCCCACCGCCGTCTTACGCGGATAGCGTGATGTACACACAGCCAGAGATACAGCCAGTGTACGACGGGACGTCAAACGCAAGTGGGACGACGGTTTTCTTGGACGGTGACGACGAAAGAGACGCGGAGAAATGGACGCTGAAGATTTGGGTGAGTGATCCGAAGATCGAGCCCGACGCCTCGTCCACACTGGTGGGCAAGCGCGTGACGCACTACAAAGTGACAACGCGAACAAATATTCCGTCATACGTTCACAAGGAAGTCGTTGTCTGGAGAAGGTTCCGCGATTTCGTCGCGCTCGACGAAAGGCTCTCCGCGATCCATCGAGGTTATTTCATCCCTCCGAGACCAGAAAAAACGGTCGTGAGCTCAACGGGCGAAAACTTCATTCAAGATCGCGCTGTGCAGCTGCAGCACTACCTCAACCGCGTCGCGTCTCACTCGCAGCTTCGCCTCGGGGACCCACTCAGAATTTTTTTGACGCATCAAGACCTGGGGGCGAGCTTGGATTGGTTCAGCATGACGAGCAAAATAATCCCTGCGCAGCCGAGCGGGGTGCCAGGAAGCCCTGACACTCCTCAGCGCCCGCCCGTCGTGATCTCGTCCCCAGGTCAGGGTCGCGATTTCGGGCGTTTCTTCAAGGAGCTCCGACAAACCGTTGTGCAGTCGACAGCGGTGACCGCCGTCGGCGGAGCTCTGGGTCTGGACACTCCAAAGCCAAAAGTGATGGAGGAGGACGCCGCTTTCTTGGTCGAAAAAGATAGAGTGTCGCGTGTCGAGGGCGAACTTTCTGGGATGTCCTCCAAGGCGACCAAGCTGCTCACGCTCCAGCAAAAGTTTGGCGAGGCCATGGGAGAGTTTGGTTTGGAGTGTTTGAAGTTTGCCAAGCTTCAGGAAGAGGAGGGCGCTCGCCTCGGGAAGTATAGCGAAAATGGTCTCGATTGCATGACGGCTGCGAGTGAGATGAGAAAAGCCGGAAACACCTCCATCAGAGCGAGTCGGATGGCTCACTCGGCTACGGCGCAAACCGCGCAGGCGCTCGAGCCGCTTCACGACTACTTGAAGATCATGCCGTCTGTTCGTAGATCCATCAGCGACCGGAATGACTCGCTTCTGACGCTACAAACAATGTTATCGGAGGCAGATAGACTCGAGGCTCGAATTGCCAAGCTCACGCCGGATTTCACCAAGATGAAACGGGTTGAGGAACTGAAACTCGAACTGGAGACAACCAAGCTCACCGGTGAGAATGCGAGAGCTGATTATAAAACGATTCAGGAGCGTCATCGTGTCGAGTTTGCGCGTTTAGAGAAGGAACGCGTCGCACAGTTTCACGCTATGCTACTGAACTACGCGCGCGTTCAGGTCTCGAACGCGGAGCGCTCGCTGTCGCTCTGGCGAGGGCTCGCCGAGGAGTTCGGAGCTTCACCGGATGAGTGGCGGACTCCAGAAAAGGTGGACGACGCCACGGAGCTATAGAACTGCATTTCCAATTGTACACAAATCACTCTACATACTAATGATGGTAGCTAATGAACCTAGTTTACTTTGATTCGCGGTGGTGAACTTGGAACGTACACTGGTCCCTTACCCGGTTCAATTTTCCCTGGTGTCTTCGCGCCCCAGCGCTCGGCGCTTGGCGTCACTTTCGACGAATTTGAGAGCGAGCGCACGCCCCAAGCGTGGATCGCGATCCCAAACATGAGCTTGAAGCAAACCAGGATGAGCATGAATCCCAGACTCACCATGAGCGTACTGAAACTCGCGAGAACTTTATTGAGGTTCCCTCTCGTGAGCGTGTCTGACTCGATCGCTCCTTCCTTCAGCGTTCGGAAGAGACTCGGTACCGCTCGGACGATCACCGCCGCTGGAGCGAGCGGTACGAATCCGACGACCTGATGAATCTTGTAAGACTGCATCAAGTGCACGTGATCGCGGCAGATTTGTCTATAGAAACGTCGATAAACTCCTGGACGCAAGCCGTTGAATTTCGCCATGAAGGAGTGCTTGATGATGTCCACGAACACCTCCGAACCCATCACGAGGACGATATCGTTCATGAACTTTCGGGTCAACGCCACTTCAATACTCCCCGCCGCAGTGATTCTCTGCGCCGTGACGAACAGAAGACATACGCACAGGTGGACGCGTTCGATCACGTCCAGTCGGCTGACGCCGAATAACTTCTCTGGATCTTGCTTCTTGAACACGTGACCCTTCATCTCCGCGAAATTGTTCGAAATGAGCACGAGTAAGATCGCATTACTGTGACTGTTTATCGCCACCGAAAGCGTCACGGCGTAAGTGAGCAAGATAAACGTGTGCGCAACCGTCGCGGCGGTGGATAGAGAAATGTCCACGATGAGTCTGAGCGCGGACTGCGCTTGGTCCACCACCGATCCGTTCGTCGCTGAGTTGACGCACCCATGTACGCTATTTTGTAACGCGTCTAATACGTTACTGTTGAACGAGCATAGCAGCTTATCGAACGTTTCTAGGACGTGACAAGCCATGTAAAGCTTGATGACTTCCTGCCCGCGAATGTAGTGATAAATCACGCTCACGTCGATCATGTGCGTGTACGTCACCGCCATACCGAGCATGAGCAGCCAAAGAACGTCATTCAGATGCTCGCGCGCGTACGGATGAATCCCCCACGCCCGTCTCTTGGACGAAGCGTTATCATTTCTCGTCAGCGTCGCAGCCGACCACACCAAACGCACGGTTTGCGACAGCACGCGCACCGGCAGCGACGTGAACAACCCGAGAATGGCATCCGCGCACAGCAACCCCCCGTACAGACAAAACTTCTCCAACTCCAACGGTATGTACCACAACAAGTCGAACACGCGCTCTCGAGCGTGCGACATGTCCGGGTCGTCCTCGCGTTCGCCCACCCTGAATCCGAGCTCCAGCGCGCAGTACCTCCACACCGACGTCAACCCGCTCTTCTCTCCCGGCGCGTTCTCTCGCGTCCACTCTCGCACGATTCGTATCGTCTCTCGCTCTCGCATCACCCCCTCCTCGCGCAACACGTCGTCGCGAACGAACAGATTCTCATCCGAATCGTTCCGCCTTTGCATCCTCGGCGTCTCCGCGTCATCCCCCCTCGCCCGTCCGTCGCCCTCGCCTCGCGCGCGTCCCTCCACCACGCCCGACGCCGACGCGCCCACGGTCCCGGTGGTGCGCGCCATCGCGTTCGACTCGGGCGACGCCCCACCCCCCTCGCCCGCGCGCGCCGGTCTCGTCGCCGACCACCCACCACCACCGTGGCGTCCGTCGCGATGCGTCGACGTCGTCCCCCCGCGCTCGAGCGGCGCGCCGAGGCCCTGGCGCGGGGTCCACCTCCCGCGGCGTCCGCGTCGTCGTCGACGTCGACGCGTCGTCACCGCGTCGACGTCGCGGCCGACGCCACGGTGGTC